TTGGTGAAAGTGTTTTTTTCTGAGCAGTTCAGACGCCCAAGAGACAGCAAATTTTCCTTTGGTGCAGCCATGACTGTGGGCTCTCAGTAGATGAGCAGATTACCAGGGATTAAAGGCTGTGTTTCAACAGGGGAGGGACCAAAGACATGCTGTCCAATCAACATATCGACATGCTAATGAGATTAAACAGCAGCGAGGTCAACTTTATTGGTAAGTGGGTAACCAAGTTATTGGAACTTGTATTTATGCAAATGTGTGAGCCCTTAGTATAACATAATCAAAATGATTTTTATACCTAATATCTGGTATTTTGAGGGCATGTAGCAGGCATCAGTGGAATACCATCTATAATAATCTATGTGTAACACTGAAGCTGCAAGAGGTGGAGGTGTGAAGGCTGATAAATTTAAATACCTGGGGTCAACCATCAAAACCAACGGAAACTGCGTAAGAGGTGAAGAAGACTGTACAGGCAAAGTGGGGTGGGCAGAGATGAGTGCCAGGGGTGATCTGGGACAGAAGGATAGCAGCAAGAGTGAAGGGTATGATGTACAAGATGACAGTGAGAGTGAGACACAGTTGAAAATGCTCAGATCTTCATTAGGAGCGACCAGGATGTACAGGATTAGAAATTAGTCTATCATTTCTATAATGAAAAATTCATGTGATACTTAGGGCCGAAGGTGAGCTTCTCTGACTTGGAGAAAATTTGATTCACCTTCAAACCAGAAGTAATAAAAAATATTTTTGCAGTTCTGTCGCAAAAAGTACACCTGCTACAAAACTGAACAGATTAACAAGAGGAGAAGCTGCTTTGTTTTCTCTCTTTCTTCAAAACAGGGTTGTGGTTGAAGCAAATTTACACCAAAATGGTGCCTGCTGACACACAGAAATACATTTTGGGACGTAAAAAAAAAACCGATACACACAGTTATATACAAATAAAGGGCTAAAGGCGAGTGATTTAGTCATGTTTTACCCATGGCAAGTTAGAGGTGGAACCAAAGTATATTGTTGCATTGCGGATATATTTTCATGTAACACCTACTAGCAGACGAGATTCCGTCCACAATCAGAGATCGTGCTTGTCAGTGAGGTTTTTAAAGATTAAAACGGTACCATTTATTTTCTTACGCTACTGTAACTTTCCGGAAGACACGTAAGGCATTTTTTTTATTTCATGTGTTTGACTTTATCTCACGCGAGAGGCTAATTTAGATTGTTTTAGGCTAGTTAAACTAGCCAACGCTTACCGCTGTGCGTCGGCTAAAGCATTCCTTCCGCTTTCCGTATTCACTTTTAGGTGCAATTTCAAATAAAACATGACGAGTATAGCTAGTAAGGTGTTTTGCAGGGTGGAGAAGATGTGTCACTACCTCCCTGTGGTCCTTAACACGTTCCTGGTTTTCTCCATAACCGGAGAGGTGAGTTACCTGGTGTCGGTGGAGGCTCCGCTGGAGCCAGACCAGAAGAAGACTCAGTGGTCCTCTCGGTGGAAATTAATCCACTTGCTGGCCCAGTATTTCATGTTGGGGAACATCTGCTGGAACGCCCTGCTCTTCATGAAAACTAGTCCCAGCATCAAGGGAGTGTTCCTGGGAGGAGAAGTCCTCGGCCAAGGGTGGAGGTGAGGATTAAACAGCTGTAGAAATGAACATTTGATGCACAGCACATTGTATGTTTAATATTGCCACCTATCTACAGCTACCTGCTTTGTGCGCTTCGGGTTTGTTGTTGTTGTCGTCATGATTTGATAAGAATCTTGATTTAAATAATGTTCTGGGCAACTAATTTGTATTTTGTAACCTTCATAAAGCATCGAATCAGAAAAACTACTTCCTGTATGCTTCCCTATCCTGCCCAACATGAGGTATAAGCAAGGCAGAGGCAAGAATTCCTTGACATATTGTTTTAGGCTTTAAAGAGAGACAAGCTAGGAAAAACACTGAATCCTAACAGATTATTTGTGACTTAGATGTGAGATGAGATGTTTATGTTTGAGTGAAGTGATCAGATTAAATTTGCAGTAAATCTTTGCTTACAACTGTGCAATGCGATAAAAGGGGTGGGGGTGATTACATAACAAAATTTAGCATTGCATAACATGTACTGCATGTTAACAAGAAATATAACCTCTGCTGACAACTGAAACAGATTGTAGGTTTTCTAAAATCTGAAAAATGCGAGATCGGGAACCATAAATAATTAATTTAACGGCAGCAAAGAAGTGAGATTTTTGCTTTTTGCCAGATCTAAAGTTTGCTTCACACTTTATTCCAAAGCAGGTGTTCATTTGAATTATTAACGTGTGGCTCAACACAATCTTTATTTTTGATGCTCACAATAAAATAGATTTACTAATAACCATACATTAAAAAAAGTCTGTCTTTTATTCAAAGGTACTGTTACACATGTGAGACGCACACTCCTCCGCGCTGTTCCCACTGCTACGACTGCAAGGTGTGCGTGCTGCGGCGGGATCACCACTGCGTCTTTTTTGGCCAGTGCGTGGGCTTCCGCAATTACCGCTACTTCCTGAGCTGCTTGTTTTTCATGTGGTCGGGGCTCCTGTACGCCACCCTGATGAACGCAGAGGTCTTCATTGTCATCTTGAAGGAGGGTGTGACGGTACACAGCATCCTGCTGCTGCTCATACCCTGGATCATGCTTGTTTCAGGTACGATCTGGTTTGTCACAGCTGGAGCGTCTCATGCACATTATTACTGTGATACTAACTGTTTGACACTCTGTTTGAACTTATAGATGTTGCTAAATGAACATAATGTATTAAAACTGAAGGAAAGAGGATACTGTCATCTCTGCTTAAAGAAAAATTATCGTTATTGCTGTCTGATTTCGCTTGGTATTGGCTGATATTCCCACTGTTGACTGGTATCATTACTGATCACATATCTTAGTAACCACAAAAAAAAAATCAGCTAAATGTCAATATCAGATCCAAATATACAGTTAGTTCATCTCCATTATTTTTACATCTCTGACTATTAAGATCTATGAAAAAATATTTAGAATTATTCAGAAATACATATTTTAGTTTGTATTTTAGAAACTCTACGGGTTAAGTAAAACTGATACTGTCCTCTTGCCTCTGGTTGATTGGTGATGAGATGAATCACAGACCTCAGTTTGCCTGGATTTGTAATCACTTGCTGTGATTTAATGTGTGCTGCTGTTCCTCGTCACCCCAGGCCAGGTCTCAGCACGTGCCTTTGCCTTCGCATTCATCGCAGACACATGCGTGGTGGGTTTCCTGCTGGTGTCTTCCTTCTTCTTCTTCCATCTCTACCTGCTGTTTCGTGGTCAGACCACCAGGGAGTGGTATTCCTCCCGCCGACCCTACAGCCTGGGACTCTTTGGCAACCTGCATCACACACTGGGCCTGCGTTGGTACATCTGCTGGCTCTGCCCTCTTATCCCCTCGCCACTGCCAGGAGACGGCATAAACTTCCAGGTCACAGGATCGCTGGAGCCCTCGCGGTAACAGGTGCTGATCGGAGCGGACCGAGTGTCTTTACTTTAATGGTGGTGGTTAATGTTATCGGGAGCAGCAGGGGAACTCATCTTAGTTCAAGAAGAGGTAGCTTGGAGTGGGAAGAAAGTAGAATTGTCTGTGGCTGTGTAATGTATTGGTGGGTGTAACTCACTGCCAGTGTCTACTCTGTAGATTCTGTGCTGAGACAAAGAAATTAAGGGTCTTCTTTTGGTGGTACATTGATCTTAAATGGTAATCCGTACACTCAGCAAGGCTGGCCTCAGAAAATGAACACAGAAACTCGATGTGTTCATCTTGCAAGCGAGCACTGATAATACATGTTTGAAAATAGCACTGAAATAAGAATGTATTTTGACTGAACAACGTTCAGTTTTAATCCTTGTTGAGAAGCACTCACAATCTCTGACAGTGACGCCTCGTGGGAGTGTTGATAATAGCTGCTTTCTTGGGTTTTCCCTACGCTGAGGCTGCCTAAATCCGAACGTTACACAAGTGTGGCTTACGCAGTTCCTGATTACTCCACTTGACTGTAAAATGCACAATCATTTGCCTCTATTTTGCTGTTGCTCTGAGGATGCTCCTGAGTTTATTAAACTGACCTTTTTAATTGGATTCTGCTGTGGCAGGTGGAACAGTGGGAGACACAAAGGAGCGGTCTTAATGTCTTCAGCACAACATTAATTTGAAATAAATAAAAGTAAACACTGAAATGGTGTGGAAAAAAGTGCAAAATATGACAGTTTACGTTTAGTGAATGCAGTATTTAAAATGTACATGCTTGTGATGTGTGAACAGTTTTGCCTCCATGCTTGATATTTCATTAAGCAGCGTCTGTGTCCTCATTCTGTACCCTATACGTTACATACTGTATAGAAATCTTTAGAGCATCCTGTTTTTGCCTATAATTACCAGTTTTTGCATACAAACACATTCAAACTGTTATAATTGATGGCTATAGAGTCTTTCTTTTTTCACGAGGTATCCCTGTAACTGTTTACCTGTCTTGAGTGTACTTCATCCTGTCAAGTGCTTCATTTCAGAATAATATGGAAGAATGCGAACATGTCAGTTTTAATTGATGCCAAATGAATTTCCTTTACCTCCATGTATTTTACTCCTTGGCATCTTTTATTTTTCTTATTTTAATTCTTCTGGCCTAAGTGTATTGGAAAAATTACAAGCCTTTTTTGTTTGTTTGTACTGGTCACTAAATGTTATATTATTATTCTTTACAACTGTTGTTAGTTCCTTGCCAAAAGATATCATTTTGTTTGGTTGATTATTGGGTGTTTTGCCTTTTAAAGGTGTTTGCTTGAAGGGATATACCACTGAGAAATGTTTAATTTTAATATTATTCTATTTTTGTTAAAGTTGTGCTGAAATAATTAAATTTTGGGTTTCAAAAGTTTTAACTTTTTCTAATTTGCATCACTTTAAACTGCAATTGTTGTCATATTTGACTAATAAAAATAATTCTTATTCCAAAATTCCAAATAGATCCTGTTCAAATAGGGAACAATTATAAAAACAATTATAAAAATCACCAAAAGATAAAATCTTCGCCATACTGGCAGCAACAGTATGGCAGTGTACTTATGTATGTCGAGATGGAAAAGGGGAAGAAAGGTGATTTAAGTAACTGAACATAGGCCAATCCATCTGGCACCAACAACAAAGCTGAGTTTCAGAAACTGCTGATCCCCTTGGAGTTTCCTGCACAGCCATCTGAAAATAACTGAAAATATCCCGAGTTCAGAGAAATGCATAAACTGAAAGGAAGGCAACAGTAATTCAAATAATTACTTGTTACAACCAAGGTATGCAGAAGAGCATCTCTGAACTCAAAACACATTGAACCTTGATGAAGATGGGCTACAGCAGCAGGCGACTACATCAGGTGACAGGAAACTGAGGCTCACCAAAATAAAACAATATAAGATGGGAATAATACTGGTATGGCATGCTGAGACTCCATTTGTTCTGTGACAGGGGATATTCTATTACCACTTTGGGATGAACTAAGCATTTAAACACCCACAGCCTGCCTCTGGCCATGTCCATCCCTGTGTGACAGAAGTTTACCCATCTTCTAATGGATGGTTAACCACAAAGCTCAAAACATCCAAGACAGGTTTCTTGAACACAACACAAACAAATTGTCATATTTGTCTAATATTGAACTAATAATTGCAACTGAAGCAAGCAGCAATATCTACCAGCACAGTTTACATTTATTCCACATGGCAGCAACTTTTCTGATCCCTTATAAGCAGTATCAGTGAGTCTTACAGTTATACTGCTATATAAATTTGTTATAAACTAGATGGAAATAAGCGATTTGATAAAAGTGCCTTCATTGTGAAGCCTGCCCAACTAATTGCTGCCATGGTAACCAGCTTGTATGGAAGCTAGATCCTTGGTAGTTAAGCTAGTGTGACCAGGTATCCAAGTAGCAAAGTGTTCATGTGCTGGTAAGGTTTTTAGCTTGTTAGTTTTATACAGCTACAACACCACTGAAACACTTTTACACTTAAGCTCTGCTAGAAATTGTCTTTATTGCACAAAGTTGAATTTTATTTAACTAACGCTAACTGAAAAAAAAGCTGGCCATTAGCTTGCACGTTTTTACCTTGCATTAGCCTTTCCCCCCCTCCATTTTAGTACGTTTAAACATTTATGTAAAGTTACAATAATGCTTGCATGTGTGTCTGTATTTAAAAAAAAAAAAACTTAACCATTTTGTAAACGACAGTTAAGTTCTCATAACTTATTAGCTTTAATTATTCGCATTTAAGTTAACCGTTAGCTAAGCCTGAGTCTGTTTTTATTCATTTTCAAGCTAATGTGGCCTTAATCATACCTCCATCTATATTTACATTAACAGCAAAATGTCATTCTACTTAAATGTGTGATGTCCTGGTCTTGCCTGCAAGGCCAAAACAAATATGCCTCATATGAAGCATTTCTGGTTCAGTCATGTTAAAAAAAAAAGGACTTGATGCAAAAACTAAGTTAACTAGTTAGTTAACTAACAAACCCTTACTATAGCCATAGCAAGTAATAGGGCAAGTAGCAGCCAGGTGCTCCAAATGTAAATGATTAACTTACCTTAAGCAAGTACCAGCACCTCTGTAAAAGCAGGAGTTCAGGCATTTTACTGGGCTGAAGCATTCAGGTGTGTGTTAACACAATGCCTCTATCATCCCAGGAGTGGACATCCCAGCATATTCAAGTTCAGATTGTGCAGTGCTTAGTGAAACTGCAAAAACTCAATTTCTGCAAGCCTCGATTAGCATATTAAATGTTAAAGTTCATGACAGTATAGTTCTGAAAATAATGAACAGGTAGTCCTTCTTTGGAGTCGTTACCAAGAGAAAGCCTCTTCACCAAAGTGAAGATACTTAGACATAATGCACAGTGACATGCTGTGTTGGGCAAAAGCCAATATTGTAAAAGACTGATAAAGTCACACTGGAAACAATTACTTGTATTTATTACTGCTTAAGGTGGGTTTAGTTGAAACTTTCTTTTTCACATGACTGTAGTGGCCTAGATAAATTAAGTAGATCATGGTTTTTCATGGCACAAAATTGTCTTTTGGGAGGAAACCACACATAAGCACAACTTGTCCACATATATTTTTGTTACTTTACCTAATAGAAACCTGTGCATTTGCTTGTTCTTTCTTGCCAAAAATGTATTTATGCTTGAATAAATAAAGTCTACTTGAAATCTAGTTGAAATCTAAATTACTTTCAACACCATTCACTTCAAAAATATGTATTGTGGCTTTGTCACTATTTTATATGAATTTTGACAAAAACATATGTTGATCACAGCAGGGTAAGGAATACGCCAACTCAATGGATGTCATAGAGGAAAACATGTGAGTGATGCTTAATGAACACACACACAACTGGTTGGACTTACTGTGCAGCATATGACCTTTTTCTGTGATGTGCATGTGCAGGTCACCAAAGGAGATGCTTGAGAAAATAGCAGAGCTGGAATACAGTCAGAGTCTGCTGAGAGATCAAAATGCTGACATGAGGAAATTGCTCGATGGTGCAGATGATGACATGGCAGCACTGGGTTCGGAGAATAAGTCCCTCAGAAAACAAGTTGAAACGTAAGTTAAGACAGATTACTGTCACGAGTTGATTGTGGAAGGGTCACTTCCATTTCGTCTCCCTGCCATTCGGTGGCATTCAGTTGCAAGTGTCACATGTTTCCATATTTTGGCTTCCAGTAAAACATTGTGGTTTATGTTTGTTTGGGAAAAGTCTGAAAGAGAAAGATTGTTATCTTTGGCCCTGAGGACAACAGCAGTGTTTCTAAGGCTACGTTTACACTGCAGGTGAAAGCGCATCAAATCCGACTTTTCTGACCCTATGCAACCCATATCCGATCATGGTATGACAGTGTGAACAGCACAGATCCGATATTTTCAAATCTGATCTGGGTTACTTTCGTATGTGGTACTGAATCTGATACATATTTGATGTTTTAGAAAGCGACTGCTGTTTGAATGGTCATGTCGCATTAAATCCGTCTTTTACGTCACTCACACAAGACAGACGCCAATTATCAGCGCCGGAGAAGACATCGCGAACGCTTCCTGGCCATCCAGTGTAGATGTTAGTGAAACTGTTGGGAAGACAATGTTGGAGAAACGTGAACATTTTGTTTGTACTGTATAATCTGCAGATTATGACAGAAATCTGCAACTATCCTTTGAAGCACCGCTCCTCTAAAACAGCAATAAGGATCATTATTAGGCCATATGTAAATAACAAAATAACTTTATAACTTAAAACAAAATTGGGAAACGTAAAGTCCGAAACAAGTCTTTATATTAAGGGCCATCATTCAAACAATACTGTTTGGTCTGGGTCTAAACAGAGCGCGTTGTGTGTGACGTCTTCTTTTGCGCATGCGGGCCGCTTTGGGGGCCGTGAACGGTTCACACTAGAGCGCGTTTGCTGTCACATTTTATTTGTAGTGTGAATAACCAGACAAAAAAAAATCAGATTTGATCAAAAAATCGTAATTGAGCATTACGACCTGCAGTGTGAACGTAGCCTAATTCTTGCTTGGAATTTAATGAAACAATCCAGTACGTTATCAGGTTGGGTTTTTAATATTTTACTAATTTCAGATTAATCTTGCTGTTTTATTGTTGCCTGTGAAATACTTTGCATCTTGCTGTTAGATCTCCTTTTTTTGTTTGTTTTTTTAATTTAAACCTATTATAAGTCAGTTGTTATTACTGGATAATTGTGCTTTTTTTTTTTTTATGGTGATTTTATTTATTAGGTTTTTTTTTTTTTTTTTTTAGCAATGTGGTCAGAAGCTTAAAACTGTCGCTGTGTGTCTCCAGCATGGAGAAAGTTTTCCAAGACTTGCAACAGACTGAAGCGGAGCCTTGCATAGCTCTGGAAGATGACTTCGAGGCACATAGACGGAATGAAGAAAAGATCCGTGAATTGGTTCGTAAGAAGTGTTTGAAATATAGCAGAGGAATTATCTAATCCCCAGCTGAATTTGTAAGTTTGCTCACTTACAGTGAAATAAACAGTGTCTAGTTTTTATGGTAGTTTCATTTTAATGGAGAGATGTGAGCCAATTTGGTACATAGATTACAGTCAATCAATAACAGACTTATTATATGAGTAAAGCAGTCCTATCCTCAGAAGCAATTTCTTTGGTTCCGACACCCGCAAGGTTCCCCTGCTCAAGCAAGCACATCTTAAGTTTGCCATGGAACAGCTAAATGATTCAGAGAAGGTTTGGGAGAAAGTGATGTGATCAGGTGAAAGCAAAATCGAGTTCTTTGGCATGAACTTGACATGCCGCATTTGGAAGAAGAGAGATGATGACCCAATGAGCACTATCTCCACAGTCAGGTACAGAGGTGGAATCGTTATGCTTTTTCTGCTAACAATACGAGAAGTCCCTAAAGTCATGGAAGAGAACCCCCTTCCATGGATGGGTTTTCAACCAACGACCCAAAACAACAATATGAAGCATGTTAAGGAGTAGCCTATCAGTCCCATAGAAAATCTGTGAAGGAAGCTGAAGCTTTGATTTCCCAAGCAGCAGCCAAGAAACCTAAAGGATTTAGAAAGTTCATGTAAAGAGCAGTGGGCCAGAATCCCTCCTGACATCTGTGCAAACCTGGTGGTAACTACAAGAAACATCTTCAACAGTTTCTCCACCAAGTGCTAAGTCATGTTTTATTATTTCATTCAATGGCACAGAAATCAATTTACTACTTTTATGTAATGTGTTTTTTTCTGAATAGTTGATTGTCTGTCTCTCTCCATTAAAAAGAAACAACCATAAAAATTGGAGACTTGTGATTTCTTTGCCAGTGAGCAAACTTACAAATCCAGCCTTGGATCAAATCATTATTTCCCCCAGTGATATTTAAGCTTCATAAAATGTAGATGTAATGTTGCACTGATTGCTGGTTTCTCCCAGCGAGTTCACTTCAGATGAACCTTCATGTTTTTGTGTAGGAGAAGGAATCCACTGCGATGAAGAAAAAATATGAAAAGCTAGCTGCAGAGGTAGATATGCATTACTTTTCACATTCAGTAACAACTTTAAACACTCATATTTTATAGTTTCAGTGTGCAGTGATACATGCTTATTTATCTTGGATGAATTTTGCTTTTGGGTTTCAGTTTTGACATCTTAAGTTTTGCAGAAACTTGGAAAGCTGTGTCTAAATATAAATATAATTTATTTTTTTTTAGCTCAAAAGCCTCCAGCAAGAAATAGAGCAGGACAAGCTCTCACTGAGCAACCTCAAGTCTGAAATTCAGGAATTGAAGGTAACGTTATCAATTCCACCATGGTTATAGCCACCTCGATGTCACACATTAGTAAAGTTATGAAGCCTCCAACTGAGTGTTTTTCGTTGCCTTATTATAGTTTTGAAACTGAATGTGGCAAACAAGGAGTGTATCTGACTGCAAAAACAAGGACAGCCCATTCTTATGTGATTGACAAGTTATTTAAAAACAAGAATACTGTGCATAATCCTCTTTTTTGGCTCTAATAATGTCCATAATAAACAAAATGAATGTTTTTTTCAGAATGATCTGATATTAATGAGCTCATAAAGATCCCAGAAGGGTGTCATATCATAGATCAAGGAAGCTGAGTGCTGTTTTTCCACAGTCTTCTATATAACCGGAAGACTTTAAAAAATAATGCAGATGTAAAGAACGTCCACATTGGTTTCACTTGACAAACCTGAATGACATGAGTATATAGTATTTTGATAATCTTCTTTTCTTCTGTACTTTGTATGTTTTTTTAGTTTAAAAGGGAAGAGGACCAGTCAAACCTGGAGCACAAGGATGAGGCTATTCAGCTGGCAAGTATAAGATCAGCATCGATGTCAATACAAAGCAGTGACTGACCAACAGTTTTAGATTTTCTCACAAACATTAACAGTAAAGATTGTCACAGTTCTCTGTTGTTTATTGTTTTACCATTTCTTTATAGATATACTTGCAATTGAATCAATTAAGTGAAACTGTGGAAGAGTGCTTCAACAATATAAAGGTAAGAATGTTTTATCCATTGATATCTAATCAAACATTAAACCAAAAAAAGTATAATTTATGCAATTTATTCATGTGATGCAACTCTTTATCACATGGATTTCAAACTGTGTCAGTGATTAGCAGACTGTTGACAAGAGAGACATTTCCTTTGTGTGATGATGTGCGAGCTTGCATTGGAGCTGTTGGGATCTGCAAATGCACAGTTGTATGTAAAAGTCCGGGTACTCTTTGGGCCTTAATTGACTTGTTGACAGGTCAAAAAGTGCCATAGTTGAAAAGACTGTCAGGGCATCAAAGGGAAGGCTTTTAAAAAGATCAAAATACCTCCAACTTTCAATTGTCTGACAAGTCACTGAGAAACGACAGTTAAAAGGAACTCTGAAAGTCAAGACAATATCTGCAAGGCTTAGAAAACTTTTAGCTAAAACTGCACCCCTGCTGTGCAAGAAAGGAAAACAAATCAACGTCATGAATTCAAAAGAGCTGCTGGAAATTTTAACTGACAGAGGAGAGTTGGTGCACTATTTCACTGTGCAGTTCAGATGTGCAAACACAGCCTGCATGGAAGAGTCCTCCAAAGGAATCCTTACGTGCAGTCACTTCACTAAAACATCTGGATAAGTCAGAGATGCAGAGAGATAGAAAGTCTAGCCAGAATCATCAAGTATATGTTTGGAAGAAAGAAAAAGCAGGTCTATAAGAAGACTGTGAACTGTTGAGTATTGATGCAAAGCAGACATCAGCTTTCATCACAGAATACCTTATTAAATGAAGTTATGTGGTTACAGTTGCTTTCAATACAGTAAGAACAGTAACAGACTGAACTAAATTGCTTATTATAAGAAATAGCTCTAATACATACAAATAGCTCAATAATAAATATCCAGAATATTACAGAGATTATTATTTGATGTATTATGTGATTGATTGGAGTTGTAAGCTGACGCTTTTGGAGGAGCTCTCACAGTTTTATGACTTAAACATCACTGAAAGTCAGCGGGGAGATCTTAAACATGCTGTGTGCCTGCAAGCCGAGCGCACAGTTAGTAGTTGTGGGTCACAATTACTGTTTGATTTAAAAAAAAACTCATCTTAAAGTCTGTTTGGTGGAGGGATTGTCTGCTTCATCTTCAGTGTGAGAGTCAGAGATTCCTGAAATGTGATACTGCATTTGGAATCGGTCCATAGGCGATGCTCACAAAGAGTCCCCACTTGCCAACCTTGAAACCTCAGAATTAGGGAGACATTCAAAAGGGCTGTTGGGGGTATCCAACAGCTCTATTTGCTGGCCAGAAACAGCGGGGGTATCCAAATTGAGAGGCTGCATCCTCCTCAGGACCTGGCCTTCGCAATCTAAGTGGGCCGGGTCCTCCGAAAGCCGGGTAGGCCGGAAGTGAGCGACTGTGAAATTGGACAGTCTAGCCTTCAGAATTACATCACGAACTCTGTCAGTGGAGTGAAATTCTTCCGCCTGCTCCTTGCTATCTAAAATATAAACTTGACGCTGCCATAAATTCTTGACCATCTCACACTTCTGTTTAATCAGTTTTCTGTTTGACGTTTATTCAGCTGTGTGAAAACCCCGGAGGAACCCTCCCGAGGGATTAACAAAGTTAAATTGAATCTAATCTAATCTGATAACTTTAATCTCAGCCAAACTGATTTACTCACGAACAAATAAAACACTGAAAAAAGTCCAACAATAGCAGTTTTAAGTTATCAAAGTGACTTATATATCATGTTTAATCTGAGTAGTGAAAGACCGCGGGGGTTGAAAACGATGTGACGGGTGCCGATGTGTCTCCTCGGCTCAGATATTTGAAGTTTACACAGCTACATTCTCGCCTGAAAATATGTTAAAAGTTTATTTTGTGACCCAGAAAGAGTAATAGGAGTAATATTAAAACTAAGTAGCTGCCGCCACAGTTGGAAACTGGAATTGGCTGGGCCGCGCTATGAATTCTGCGATATATGGTTTTTCAATTTTGTTGTCCGGGTGGAAAATCGGGAGAAATTCGGGAGAATGGTGGCTCCGGGAGATTTTTGGGAGGGGCACTGACATTCGGGATTCTACAGGAAAAATCGAGAAGGTTGGCATGTATGCCCTTGTAACATTTGCCCAATTCTGACTTATAAACTTTTAAGGTGTTTTACTGTCTGGCCCTGTGTCTGTGCTACAGGACCTCAGGCAGACAACGCAGGAGCTGAGTAAGCAGTTGGAGGACAGACAAGATGAGGCCACATTGTAATCCTCACTCACAGATCCTCTTGCTTTAAAAGATTACACAGTATAGTGGGAGAGCTCATAATGTACTGCGTCACTCTGTTTTTAGTGACCTGATGAGAGAGAAGGAACGAGTGCTCAACCGCCCTCTGTCCTTTGCAGAGGAAATTAAACTGCTGGCCACAACAGCTGAAATGAATACCGGCATGACAGACTCCACAAATCATGGAAATGTAGATGTCTGTATGAAGTTCAATAAAATAAATACAAACTAGAGAAACTGAGTTAGAAATGCTACATTAATGATGCCTGCTACACTGTCTGCAGGAGGAAGCTAAGACTGAGGAGCTGCTGAAACCTCATCTTCCCACAGTTAAGCTTCAGTCTAAAAGGTACTCAGATAAGATTTTGTACGTGATGGAGGCATCGTATTTCATTTTCTCGCTCATTATTCTCCCTCTTGCTTCTCAATCGTGTAAAGATGCCCAGGTACCTTGGAGAAAGCCATCTGGAGAGTGGGTTTCTTTATGCTGTGCATCTTCATTCTCATGATTATAGCCTTTGTGGCTTCAGGATGCTTTGCAGGAACATCTGACTTCTCTTCCATCACCACTTTGTGGACTAGCGCCCACCTGATGTTACAGCCCTATTGGAGTGTACAATATGGGGCCTTGCCTCCCATTTGAGCTTAACTCTCCCTCTGGTCTACTCTTGTATTTTAGTATTTCTTTTGTAAACATGAGTTCAGAAAACAAACAAATAAAACTTCTCATGATGCATTAAGCTGCTTCAGCCTCAGGGTCTTGCATGAGCTTGCTGATTGTCTATTGCACTGTTATGACATACAGAAACGTCTAGATTCTAAACCAACAGCATGTAGAGGCTGTGCTGATCAAAAAATCAAATTTGCAAAAGCAAGTGTCTTAGCTACAGAAGAGGATTAGGGCCACTGGGGGGGGAAAGTGGGCACCTCTTTTTTTTTTTCCAGAATTCCGAGAAAAAGGGCAGAATTCTGACTTTTTTTCTCAAATTAAAGTCAGAATTCAGAGGGGGAAAAATCTGAATTCTGACTTTAATCTCAGAATTTTGAGATTAGTCAGAATTCTTTAGTCTCAGAATTCAGATAAAAAAAGAATTCTTACATTAATTTCAGAATTCTCCATTCTGACGTTTTTCTGAGAATTCTGAGATTAAAGTCAGAATTCTTTAATCTCAGAATTCTGATTCCCAAAAACGAATAAACTATGGATGTTATGGCTCTCTTTGCAGTTTGCATCTTTTTTACTTTCACTTTTTTTGTTTTTATCTCATTTCATTGTCTTATCATCTATGTTAAGTTGCATTGCGCATATGTCTTTATTCAACATCTTTCTGATCTTATCTTATTTTTGGACCTTACTTCACACAGAGGCTTTACTCCCTTTAACCTTTTGAATTTTCTTTTTTAATCGATGAAAAAAATATATATACTTTTGGAAAATATTCTCATGCACCCCACAGAATCCCGGTGCCGCGCGCTTCACGTGACACTTGAATCATTGCTTCGTGTTATCAGTATTTCACTCGCGTCGCCCCACCCAGCTGAAGGCGCTCTAGTCTGTAGGTCCAGGAAAAAAACCCTCCTCCCCGACGGGAAAATCATAAACAGCAGATCAGATTTAGATCAGGAGGAAAGACGGGATATTATCAAATAGGCGCTGGCTGATGATTCATTGTGTGCAAGTATCCGCTGGATGTATGTGAAGCGTGTGGATGCTGCACGGTTAGTCCTGACTGACTCCCGGAGATGCTGTGGACAGGCCGAACCTGTTTAACATCCGCTTGCTTATTGGATGGAGCAAAGAAAGATAGACAATAAATCAGAATAAGAGATCAACAGGCCAGTTGTATTCGGTCTGAGAGCAGGAGTCCGAGGAAGAGGGGCAGCGGCATGTTCTGAGCGGAGAGCCGACGAGCGGCGGCAGCAGGCGGGATGAAGGCTCCGAGAAGACCGAGGCAGACGCGCCTCCTCCGGCGTTTCTGCGTCTGTGGAGTCGGTCTGTTCGCAGCCGCCTGGATCTTTCACTTCTGTGATGTTACAGGTGCGTATAAAGACTCTGATTTAAAGTTGTCTTAACCACTCCTATACTTTCATTATTTGCTATAACAAATCAAATTGCAGTATTAAGGCAAATGTCACGTTGTACAGATTATTTTAGCGGGATACTAGTAAAGAAACACATTAAAGTTACATAAAAGGTTATGTTGAATTTATATCCTCAAATAGCTTAACTGTATTCATATGTGAATTACTCTTTTTAGACTACCATAGACCAACTGTGGATCACAGCAGCTCCTTATTCAAGAGGGAGCTCATCCAGCAAAAAGAAGACAACCAGACTGGGGGTGCTTCTAGATCTGGTGAGGTGCTTTACCACGTGTTTGTGTCTTTCACATACACTCTGTTTATAGACGTGCATGATGCGCCAACAGGAACATTATCTTTACAAAACTTTAAAAGTCTAATTGCATCAGTGTGTTGAGCTAGAATGAGCTCAGGTTTGGATAACCTGTGTACAGTCACCGTGACCTTCTGAGCCCTTGTGTGTTTATGGCAGTCAAAGTGTGCAATCTTCGTTTATCTCCTTAAATCAAGAACTATTTCCTCTTGTGCATTCCTTTACTCCTCTGGTCCACCTTTCATTTCTTTAAATTTAGTACATATATATGTTTTAAAAACAGTTAGGTCTTTGATGGTTGCTAGGAAACTGAGTTTGTGGTTTGATATAGTGTGCATCTGGAGCTGTTCAAAGTGCCCGCTTGTGGTATTGACCCGCTGATTAGTAACCTCTCATCAGCCGCTCTACCATTGCTTATGCATGCTTGGATCTGTGTGGCTGCTTGAGATTTTTACAGAACACACTGAGCTGTATTCAGTCAGAATGAAGTTCCTGCCTCACGGAAATATAGTGCAGATCAACTTAAAAGCTTTGTTCAAACTATCATATTTCTATTTTTAAGAGCATCATGTGGTTTCTGATGCTAAAAATATACAGTTTGATCATGATCTGAATTAAACCAACATCACGCCATTTCTGCCTCTTAGGTGTGATTTGTGTTTGCCTCTAACTGCACATTGATATCTCTTTCACTTTTAAAAGCGGTTTAAAAAATCTGACGTACAGTTAAATCAGAAAACCTTGAGGGGAAGTCACTTGGGAGGCTGCTTTTCAGATTATTGTTGCGTCTGTATCATGAAAAAAAAGCTTTTTAAATGTTGCAGTGAGCTGTGGTATTTATGAGCTTATGTGCAAGACAGTGCAGCCAAGCAAAGCAATCGCTTTCTGCTGGGAGGAGAAAGGCTGTGACGCATGGTGACGCTCAGCCAAATTAGATGCCTCTGAACTTCAATATAATTGGAATTGCTTTTAGAAGAACTGACAAAGAAAGTCAATAAAACACTTGTTTTTGGATGGCATGAGGGATAGTGGGAAGTCATAAGAGGAGCATGGAAAATACAGCTGTAATGCAATTGGACTCCTGGTTGTGTGACTTTAAACTCAAGCTGTGTCTAGACAAGATACAGGATACATTCAACAAACTGAGATACGCCAATTCTAGATCTGACGCATGCAAGGATAAATGCCCGCAGGTTCAGGGTGGAGCTGAGTTATAATTCTAATCACAGCCTTCATTTAACCACCTACCTGCGGCTCTTCTCTGAACTCCAAGGGAACAAATCCTCCTTTAAAGAAAGTGTGTTAAAGTCACTGTGAGTTAATTTTGAGACATGACAGAAAATAATCTTCAGATATCAGAAGATAAAAGTGCAGGTTTTAGGGAGTCGTGTTTAAAATGTAATGTATTAGAATACTTGGTAACTGGTTTTTGTTGTCCAACACTGTTTCCTAATTCCACATGTCATTAGATTACACTCTATCCATCTTTTCCCAAGCTATCAGTGAGTTTCCTGAAGACGTCTTTACTGTGGATCAAAGGAGACAGGGTGCAGTCCTCCTTCATGTTCTCTGTGTGAGTATCACATCTGTCTGAAAGCCTGCGTTTGACATAATAAAATGCTGTATTTTCTCTTATTTTCATCTTAAACCAAATCTTCAGTAATGCGTTTGCTGTATTTCTCAGGCTATCTACATGTTTCACGCACTGGCCATTGTCTGTGATGTTTACTTTGTGCCATCACTGGAAAAAGTGTCAGAGGTACGATGCAGAAATCTATAATGGCTGAAAGTAAAGTAATACTTGATAGTTTCCCATTCTACTCTAGGTATTAAGTAAAAAAAAAACCTTTAAAGGGTAAGAAGCGAGTGTATTTTCTTTACTGGCTGTAATTCATCTCTAAAGACATGAAACAATAGTGTGTTAGTCTATCAGAACTCTCTGTTTAAGCCTTGTGGTATTAAATTATAAACTAGTGTTCATGTTCATTGGACAAATGTAACCTTAGTTGATGTTTTTCTAGTAGTTTTTGGACAGCAGTAGAGGTCTTTGGCTACGGCAGGCTCTGGATAAACACACCGTATTTATTAGGATCAATCCTGTGACAGAAGAATACCAAATATGACCATCCTCATCCTTAAGCCTGTTTAATCTCCCCTCTCCATCCACTAGAACCTTCAGCTCAGTCAGGATGTTGCCGGGGCAACCTTCATGGCAGCTGGGAGCTCCGCCCCTGAGCTCTTCACTTCTTTGATTGGTCAGTATCCCAGTCAGTCATTCCCTCCAGCTGGTTAGATCAATATTTCTGCCATCAGTGCTCCAATTAGAGGCAATCGGAGAGACAATGTCTAATCAGGACAGAGAAAAGTGCACATAGGGAGCTAGCAGTGATTAATTTTAGGCATTTATCATTAATCATAGATGTCAAGAAGACAACATTTATTTTTGCTTGATGGTTTATCATGTCACTGTGGGGCAGGTTTTTTTTTTAATCATTAACAGTGTTTCAGTAAATAAACTTTCACTTTTTTTAAATAAGATAAAAAAAAATTAAATAAAATTAAATAAAACCTTTATTTTATATTTTGGAGTTTATGTTCTGATTTTTCCTGCTATTCCAGAGTCTATAGTTCTATGTTTACTTAACTGTTTTCCTAGTGGAGGGTTGTGTTTGTCCGTGTATTTTGTTTTCAGCTCATTATTCCAGCCTCCCCCTGTGTTGTGTTTTTATTTTTTAGTGTGAGCTTTCATATCTCTGTGTTTAGTTGGGTGCTGTTGTTATTTTTACTTTGTTAGTTAGTTGTCTCTTGTGTCTTGTTTTGAGTTTCACTCACTCCCTCTTTGAGTAAACAGTCCTGTCTCCATTGTAGCCTCTGTCAGATACTCTGTGTGTTCACTGAGTTAGTCTCTGTGTTTTTAAGCTGTGCTTGTCATCCCCAGCTCTGTTTCTTTGTTGCCTTTTTCTGGGACTTTCACTCTAAGCTTATTGATAAGTACGTTAATCTGAGGCCAGGTCGGTGCATTAAGCTCAGACATGTCAAAAATTCAACCAGTTCAAAGGAATAAACGTTTCCAAGGTGAATATATTATAAGATAAGATGTACGTTATTTATCCCAGATATGGGAAATTCTTTTGTTACAGTTAAAAAATTACGTTAAACACAAACAAGCATATACAGCAGGTCAGTAAGTGTAACTGCTTATATAATAATGTTGCCCATACACTGTGACACTACAGTACAATAATTAAATACATCACTTCTACATTTTGCCTTTTAGCATTATTTTCTTCTTCTTTTGCACAGATAAAACATATCAGATATAACTGTCTTGTATCAGGTATTGCA